TCGTCCCATCCTTCCTACCACCCCTCCTCTCTCGTCCCATCCTTCCTACCACCCCTCCTCTCTCGTCCCAGCCTTCCTACCACACCTCCTCTCTCGTCCCATCCTTCCTACCATCCCTCCTCTCTCCTCCCATCCTTCCTACCATCCTTCCTCTTTCCTACCACCCCTCCTCCCTCCTCCCATCGCTCCTCTCCTACGGTCCCTCCTGCTGCAGTCCCAGCAGCTCTCCCAGCCGCGCGGCGCACATCTCGGACGCCTGCTTTGCGTCGCTGCTGACGACTGTGAAGTTGAGGAAGCCATGGGGCAGCTGCTCGAACATGTGCAGACGCACGTCGCGGCGCAGCGCGCGCAGACGCTTCGCAAACATCACCGAGTCGTCCAGCAGCGGGTCCAGATGACACGCCTGCAACATGTGCAACACACACTTACATGTACACACACGTGTATATATATATAGTAATGACACATGCATACATAGATACGTACACACGTGGTATTTACTTACAGTAATGATACATACGTACGTACGTACACATGCACGTGCCCATACCTGCCTGCCTGCCTACCTGCCACGTGCCCACCTACGTTCCTACCCACCTACCTAACTACGCATGCACGCATACACACACACACACGCTCGCACGCACGCACGCACGCACACACAGACACACGCACACACACACACACACACGCACGCACACACACACACACGTGACCTACCATGATGGTGCTGGGCGACGGCGATCTGCAAACAGCGGCGACATGTACAGGTTGCTGTCTATCACACGACCTACCACACACATGCACGCACGCACGCACGCACGCACGCACGCACTTTTTGTTACCATGTAAAATTTTGATTTCCTTCAAGTCCTGTCAATGAATCAGAAGAAAAAGAAAACAAATAAAGAATATAGCCAAATTCCATCAAATTGTTTTCTGTATTTTTTAGCGCAAAATTTCGAAGGGCACTTCGAAGTGCACCCAATACGGCAAATACGGTCTGAATCCGCCCCTGCCATTTAACAAAATCTGCCAGAGCGGGATAGCCACACCTCATATGGATAGTGTTGCTAGGTCGGTCAATCTCACCCAGTTTATACACGTTTTTCACACGTGCAGTGGCATTAAAATGGCTTGATTATTTCATTGTTTCATTGTCCAGCACTTCATTACTTAGCATTGCTTTTTAGAATATATCCGATGGCAACACCGACTGAATAGAGCTGCCTGTCAATCATGACAGGCGGATACGTTGGTTATGGACCACGGCCACTGATCTCCTGTATAAGCTGTATATTTCGTGGTGGTTTAATTTTTGCGAATTTCGCGACCGCGTCCCCGACCGCGAAATAACCACTCGCGAAATTGTCCGTCGTCTGAATTCGCGAAAATATTTATACGCGGAAAATACGGCTTATACAGTAACTAGATAGCGCTTAGCGTATCCACGGTCGGTATCCACGCCACCGCGCCACTGCCGCCATCTTGCCACCACTCCCAAAAGCTGATATCTGCCGGTGTGCGCCCCACAACATTTCAATTGGATAATGATAAAATGCAGCTTATATTATTATTTTTATTCGCATGAAAACAAACTTTGATAAATCATAAACACACGACAGAATTTATATATTTTTATAAATAGATAGATATATATAGCGAGAGAAAGAGAGTCAGAAGATATGATCACGTCATGGGTCACGTGAAAATTCGGCTCAGCCTATTGGCCTGCATTAGTTCGAGGAGTGATGTCATGGCGTCTGGTGACTTCACCTATTGGCCACTGAGAGCTATCCAGCTCCTACACAGAGATCAGTGACCACGGCACATATTAACTTCTAAACGCGTTCATAATCTCTTCGTGTAACTATTGTGCACTGAGCATTGGCCTGAGACGTGAGCTCCCAGCTGTCGAACAAACGCGATATATCATGGGCGAATCTCGCACCCCGCACAACCTCGCTCACACCAAAACATCTACCATCACACCTCCACATTCTAACGACAAAGGGACGCAAGGACGCGTCTACTGGTCGCACGTGTTGAAAAGTAGCCTTAGCCGAATTTACCTCCATTCTCATACCATGCTTCCTTCCTACCATCCCTCCTCTCTCCTACCATACCACATCTATGCTACCGTCCCTCCTCTCTCCTACCATCCTTCCTACGATCCCACCTCTCTCCTCTCTCCTCCCATCCTTCCTACCATCCCTCCTCTCTCCTACCATACCACATCTCTGCTACCATCCCTCCTCTCTCCTACCATCCTTCCTCTGTCCTACCACCCCTCCTCTCTCCTACGGTTCAACGCAACTTGTAAGTTTTGAACGCAACTCACACGCAACTAGCACGCAGGTCCAACGCAACTTGTAAGTTTTGAACGCAACTCACACGCAACTCGCACGCACTCGTACGCAGGTGATCGCAGATATTGGGGGATCATAAGTTCAGTTCGCACTCACACGCAACCCATACGCAACCCACACGCAACCCACAGCAACTCACACGCAACCCATAGGTTGAATAGGCTAGAAATTGACAAAATTGTTGATTTGGGTTGCGTTTGGTGCGTATAA